AAAGTTATCAGCTATATGCATAAGATATGTACTTATTACTTAAGAACGACGTAAGATGGTAAAGTTCCAGAACCGACATTTGATTTACCGACTAAAGTAGATTTTACACCTGTGACCAACAAACGTGTATGTAAACAGAAATTTCGTTGAACAAATAGAAAGCAAACGGTGGGCTAGAAACACAGGAACACTGAATCACTTTAAAAAGGCGACAATAAAATATGTACAAAAGCTACGCCAATGGAAGCCTACGGTAAACATAATGCGCTTAAAAGTTAGTACGTACTTTTGATTTTAAATCAACTAGAATTATTTGCCGGATGTACAATAAGTTAATTTACTACTTTTACATATTCCTCTATGTTACCTTTTAAATAATAGATGCGTAAATAACTCATTAACTTGGCTAAAAAGTAACTTCATTTCAATATTATCCTTTTAAAAACCTTTAGAAAAAGTTTGAATACTAACCATTAAATATAACTCAGAGTAAGATAGAAAATACAACAGAATGTATGTAAGTGGTAAGTCATTGTAATGTGTATCGGAAAGTCTGTTACAGCATGCAATCAAATATAGGGTGCGGAACAAGGAGGGTACAACTGTGTACGAACCCTTATAATAAATAACATGTCTGCTCAATTGGAGATCACAATCAGTCTTTTCCTTGAATTTATTACTCGGTAAAGTCATAAAAAATATAAGTATCCTACTTGCGATAAAAATGCAATTACTTTAGTATATTGAAAATAGTCTTTGGTAATAAATTGATCAGCAATATAGAGTTAAAAATCATTTAGTTTGTCGGAGGTAAGTTTTTACCATAACACCACAAACATTATCTTCCCCTCATCCTACTCCCATTAGGTCGGTCCAGATTTTTCTCTTCCACATAACTCTATCATCCATCATCACAATTATCACACACCACAAAATATCAACAAAATAAGACATCACAAATGACTAAATGAAATGTTCATTCAAACTAAAGAGTAACGCCATATCAATATTTGACCAAAGAAATCTACACATGGTGATCTCCAACTCAAAATATAATACACATATTAAAGAGCCAGAATATCTAGACAAATATTGTAATGGATTTGCTTCGTACATAGAGTAACTTCTTGGTAAAGTTGTTCTTTGCTTAAGAAACATCAATTTAACGGTAGCTTGAATACATAAACCGAACACACGTAGCTTCATGCATTTCGAATATTCTGGAAAAGCGAGCGCTACAAAGAAACTTTGCCGGTACACTGGCAGTCTGCGTTTCGTTTGGCGCTAGCAAAAGTAAATTATAACGTATTCCATCTTAATAAAAGCACTCCAAAGTAAACGGACCGAAAACTATGAAATAACGGGATTATATCGTCTTAATTAAGCGAGCAGGTTTTAGAATTGTTGAAGCGTTACTTATACGTTTAAACTGCACATTAAATTAATTCTTCTTTCTCTTTAACTATTTATACCACAATTTGTCGTCATTTTTTGTGTGAATGATAAAATTACGAAGTACGGGCCTTCGTGTACGAGACGACACAAATTTTCGAAACCTCGCGATTTTAGTCGCTAAGCGACTTAACGTAATGAAATATCGTCGAGGTTCATACACAAGCACGGATCTTCGACATTTCTGTCATCGGCATCGTCTCGCAACCTGTTTTTCAAGATTCATTACAGAAGTTATTGCGACTTTCAAAATATGTGCAAATGTTGACATTTTGTTAGTAAATACGCGTCAACCGTGTAGTCGTTATGCCTGTAGTCCGAATTAAGAATTCGCGTCTGTTTCTTTGTTGGTTTCGATTATTGTTTTTTTTTTCGTTTTTTAATTGTAGGTAAATAAGATATGCATGTATACAATTACTTTCACGTGATTATTTTAATAGATACGACATCAACATAGCAATATAAGGAAATAAAATTAATTGTCTACTTTTAAATTATAAAATCCAATAACGATAATAATAGTTAAACATGTTATTTAAATTCATCGTTTTTTAAATTAAATGCCCTCCTTTTTAACTTCGAATTTATTTAATGACATATAATTATCAACTAGAGTAAATATTATAAACTAGATATTATAATAGGTTATTTGAAATTGTAATTGTTGGGTCAGAACATCGATGCTAACAACGAGTAAAGTTATCGATATTTCCCATCACTTTTAACTAAGTTAAGGCTACATCGATGTTAATTAAAACTTGTTTATTATATCTGAGTAACAAATATGCACATAGATTAGTTAATCTTTAGATATTTTCAGACACGTCACACATCTAATATTTGATGTACTTATAAACAGAGTACTAACTTTTTATTTAAAACTATGTAAAATCATATAGGTCATTACCATAAAAATAAGACAGTTATGTGGTTAGACTTCATCTGTACAAAATTTATAACAACAATCTTACAATAAGCCAGGCAAAAGAATTTTCAAAATCGGTCCAATAATTTTTGAGTGAATATCTTACATACAAAAATACAAATATTTCCATGTTTTAATATAAGTATGGATAAAATCTAAAGATAATATTTCTAGTACATGTATCTGTAATTAAGATGTACATTACACACCAATTACCATCACAAAGCAATTAACATCCGATGTCAGATTGTTAGTCCTTGTCTAGAAACAACTATCTCCCTCTATAATCGGCTAATGTTACTATTGTGATGACAATAGAAATACAATATGTACAAAGATATACATAAATTTCACTCAAGTTTCAATTCTAGACTAGTTAGAAAAGTAAAATCTAAAAGAATTGTACTTTACGTGAATCTTTATACTTAAAAATCTTTTAAAACAAAACTAAACGGGCTTCAAACGATACTAAGCATACTCATACTTCTTACTAATATTATAAATGCGAAAGTTTCGATAGATGGATGGATGTTTGTTACAGTTTGTAGCCTGAACGGATTTCGATGAAATTTGGTATGGATTTAGACGATAGTCTGGAAGAACACATAGGCTCACTATATACTCACTTTTGTTTTTTTTAATTCCTCGCGGACGGAGTCGCGGGCGAAAGCTAGTATATTATAAATGCGAAAGTATAGATGGTTGAAGTGTAGATGTAGCCTAAACGGCTGAACGGATCTGCATGAAATTCGGCATAGACGTAGAGCATAGTCTGGAAAGAACACGTAGGCTACTTTTTATCCCAGAAATAGTTACGGTTCCCGAGGGATGCATTAATACATATATCTTTTTTACAATACTTACTTTGAATATTACTTTTTATAATAATTAATTAAAATGCAATAATAAAAAAACATCATTGCTTACTTTACCTACCTCTCTCTATTTCTTAAATTATCTTTGAAAGAAATGACTACCGGTATGATAGCAACATTTTCGTTCCCTGATTAGAAATTTAAATCGCAATTAAAACTTTAGTAATTCCATAATCGGCTACATAGTATATGTACGGTATCAGTCAATTAACATTAATAATTCAATTGGTAATGGAAATCTAAAGTTTGCTCACTAAAAGATTTACGCCGGCCGACTATCGTCTTAACTTGCCTTTTGTTTTCAATAACTGAAAATATGAAATACATCGGAAACTGAGTTATTTCTAAATCTTAATAATTATAAATATAGCCTATTTATTCGTAATATGTGAGTTTACATTCGTTTTTTTAATTCTATCTATAAGCTAAAATACAATTGACAGTAAAAAATTGTTTGTTGATAACTTTTGTTTCTAATTTTTCTCAATAGAAAAATTTGTTATGTCTATCAATCGTGAAAATGTACTTTAATGTTATATTTATGTTTAATGAGTGTTAATACTATACAAATTTGATCTTGTTAGACAATTTGATGTTTGTTAGACTTTGTAGTCCAAACGGCTGAATGGATCTCGATGAAATTTGGCATAGACGTAGAGGATAGTATGGAGGAACACCTAGGCCAGTATCTTTTGTTTCTTTCATTAAGTCCACGCGAACGGATTCGCGTGCGAAAGCTGGTAATTAAGATAAATTAAATATTGATATTCTGCTAAATTAAGATACTTTAGTTTTAATTTAAATATCATATGAACTTTTTATTTTAGATACTGTGTACTTATACTTATCGTAAACGTTTTTCGTAGTCCGGGCATATGATCATAAAATGACGTAAGTTTTTTCTCCTATGGCAAGTTTATAAAAACAGTAGTAGGTTAATTACACCATAGACTAATAAAACATTCTACATATTTAATAATGCCGTCCGATTGGTGTTTATAACATAAATAATTCATCCGGAAGGTTTTGGTTTTTTTTGTGTCACATCTGGTGTTTAAATCAAAAACTATAAACATAGTTCTTGTTTCATATTTTCCAGCCAGCGATATTACGTTCTAATTTATTTAAACATGTTAATCAGTGTAGTGTAATTTTGCTGTGAACTAAATGTAAAAAATGTATTGTAGAATACAATCTGTTAAAAATATAAAATTGAGGTTGTTACATTTCTATGTGGACTTTGATGACTTTTGTATTTTGTTTCTGAGGTTAAAAAATAATAATTACCACCCAAAATTGCAAAGTAAAGGAAATAAAAAATTCAATTTGGATAAACGGAAATAATTAACGCCGTCTTTTCATATTACAATCTTTTACTTTGCGTACCTTTTCCGAAATAATTCCCGTTTTCCCTTAGAATTTTAAATACAATGTCGGTCCTATTAACAAGAAAGTTAACAATATTTTTACAAATTAAATTGGAAAATAGAGAAAAAATCTTATAAACCGACAATAATTAATTATCAGGTGTCATTTTAAGTAAGTCCATAACTTAATACCTATTTATTCATAACTTTAATTCAGATAAAGCAATTTAACTAAAAAAAAAACATTTGAAAACATCAATAACTTTTTTTAATCCCAATGGTTACTTCGGCAATAAATAAAATGTACAAAAATTATAATCGTATTAGAAAAGCAATAAATATAACAACACGAAATAATACAAAAACATTCATATATCATACCCATTATCTTCGGCTTAAACTCATCCGTTAACAAAAAAGCTCTCCCATCGGTGTAAATAACACTTAGACGAATTGTTTCATTAATTTATTCTATCACTTTGTCACTTTACACCGCATTCGTTGCGTCCGAATGCATAACACAGAGCACTTTCTTTCGTATATCGGGAAAGTTTACGTACGGTGTGAGCGATAGACGCGCGGCACGTTCGTTCGCGGAACGTATGACGCGAGAATGAGCTGTGTTCTACGGCGCTCCCTACCGCCGACGCTTTACGCCCTGTCTAGTCATCCCTTTATACTATGTTATTGCGGAAATGATGGCGTTTGTTGTTACTGCCTCTAAAGCCTACGGCAATTATGCTCTACCCCCACACTGATTGACCGATGGCCCTAAGATTTTAATGGAAGTGCATGAGCTCCTTTGTAGGTCTGCTTTTGAAATAATGCAACGTAAAAGTAACGACGTAACATGAGCGTTGTTTTTAAAACAAAACACTAGTGGTCTAGTACGTCTTACTCTGACTAGTTAATATTATGAATGCGAAAGTTTAAATGGATGGATCGATGAATGTTTGTTAGAGTTTGTTACCTAAACAGCAGAACGGATCTCGATGAAATTTGGCATACATGTAGAGATTAGTCTGGAAGAACACATAGGCTTCACTTTTGTTTTTTTTTAATTTCACGCGGACGGAGTCTCGTGCTCAAACTTACAAAGAACTAAATAGTCCACAAATAAACTATTTTTAAATACTTTTAATTGTTTTTAATGACTTCAATTGGACTGTTTATAAAGGGAATGTTAATTTCAAAAGCTATCGGTATCGATTGTGAAAATGTAGCGCTGTTAGAGCAGAGAATTTTCTGCAATAGGCTCGCTCTCATTCGGATCCCAGTTCGCAATCACCATCTACCTAATGGAATATTGCTAACTGTAATTAACTTTTGTTTGTATAGTCTTCTATATTGAAGAAGATACTAACTTTGACAGAGGGACTAACTAACTAATAACGCATAGCTGAAATTACCTTTGGTATTTTGCTGATAGATTTCTGTTACTATATTGTATGTAAGTAAGGTGGAAATTCAAAGTACATTTTATTCCTACAAAATGCTTTACCTATCTTTTTTAATTTCAATATTATATTTTTAAAGTGTTAATATTATGAAGTTCTAGATCCACTACAAAGATAAAGAGCCATTTCACCGGCGAATAAGAATATTAAGTCTTTCGGCCTTAATCTTTTACGACATGAACATATTTCATAGAAGCGTTATTGCTTACTTCTTGGCTAACATTTACCAAGAAAGACGGATATCAGTCACATCTTAAATGGGATTTTAGATGATATTTAGTTTACATTTAAGAAGATTATTTAATAATGTGATACTGCTAGTTATTAGTTAAATAAATATGGATCTCACTATGACCTGAATGCATTTCTGTTTCTTATTAGTTACTATAAGACATATTAATCTTTGTAAATTTTACAATAGTTAACTACTAAACTAATTTTATTTCAAAATCCTTCTACTTCAATTTTGAAATTGTACTAGGTACTCCAAGTGCTAAAGTCTAGTCTGTGAGATTGAAGTCCGAATGGCTTTTGAAATTACGCGAGTGACGACTGAGGTCAAATCCTATGTGGTTCCTCAGGGAACACGCCGGCCAGTGGCGACAGAACTACTACTCGAACCAATTACTCAATGCTGGTATAGAGAAATTCTGGTTAAGATTCCTAGATTAAGTTCATGTTAACATTAAACTACTACCTTTCGCTCGCGACTCCGTCCGCGTGGAATTAAAAAAAAAGCAAAGTTGAATAATCTATATGTTCTTCCAGACTATCCTCTTCATCTGAACCAAATTTCATCGAAATCCATTCAGTCGTTTAGGCTACAAACTCTAACAAACATCCATATAAAGTTTCGCATTTATAATATTAGTATGATTAACATAATTGCTAAAACGCGATCGCTCTTTAGTTCTGATAGTTTTTATATTCCAACAAAAAATCTTTAATTAACGACTGTTTTATAAAGTAAGAATAATAATATAGAAAAAGAAACGAGAATTAAACCAAAAATCCATAAAACCCTCGGTAATCCAACCATCGCATACAACAAATTAATTCCCGGCGCCCCGTAAAAGTACGCCGGAGTCCGTTAGTGAAAAGCTCGGAGCTGTAAAACTGGCAGCGAGGGGATGCGAGCCTCTATCAATAGCCTACTAAAGTAGCCGAGGGAACACCTATTTAACAACCAATTGGCATAGTTTATTTGTTTCGAATTGATCCGAGTGTCTTTTAACATTTTACATTTTAGTTGTTGAAAATTTCTTTTAAATCATAAAGATATGTTATTTGTAATACTATTAATGTCAAGCGTAGAAGTTAAAGACATATAAACAAGAGAGTAATGAGTATGAGTACGTATGGATCTTGTAAAAGATGATATGTGTAAGAAAGAATGGAATTTAGATATGAATAGCTGTTCCCGTGCGGCTTCATCTGCAGGAAATTATGAAAAAAATATTTTATTGTTTACATTTGTCAAATTAACTATAGCAAATGTCAAAATGACATGACATGACATGACATCTATCTTTCTTGATTTTGGCAGCAACTTAAGATCGCTTTCCCACATTAGGTTTTTTATCCAAAATATTTACCTACGTTTAATGGGAAAATATATAACCTAAAGTAAGACGTAAGTGTAGGGCTTTTTATTAAAAAAAGAATTATTCAAAAATAAGCTGTAATTGCTGACATCGTAGGCAACAAAGAAGTGTGTGTTTACGCTTTATTATAATAGTATAGAAGTATAGATATCTAATAGTGATGAATTAAAAGATGTATGCCGACTGTCCAAAGGAAAGACAGTTTATATTAATAGTAAATTAATGAAAAATGCACATAATTTAGTAAAACGGTATTATTTTCGATTAATGTTTGACAACATTTCTGTACACACATTTTGCACTTCGCTCTAAAATCTACGGAATGTCTTGCTTCAAACATACGAAGATTGTAACGAAGATATTTTTAAAATTCTTGTTTGCGGGAACTTTGTTTGACAGATGTGCTTATTTTCTTTGTTTTTGCATGTTTATACGTGGATGTTGTGAATATCAAAACCTGAGCGGTCGTTGACCTTATCCAGTACGTTGTAACTGTATTTTTTTAATAAATCGAGAATAACAGAGCTCATTTTTTCTATAATATTCCCTAGTTACAATGTTAGCATTCTTACAACGAATATAGTAACGTCATTAAAGTTTTATTCATCAAACAAAAGTTGAAGGTAGAAACGCTGAGAGCGCTCACTGCATTTGCCCGATGAATCGTTAAATTTATTCTTTGTTCAATGAAAAAGTTACACTTCTTAGGGAATATTTCAGGTCAGAAAAATGCACTCGATAAAGTACCATTACCGATGTTTCCAAAGTCTAGAAAAAATCTTGCGATCGAGGGTTCGAAATTCGAATCCCGCCGTTCGACTATAGCCTAGAGCTTAGTTAGAATGGTTAAAGGAGATATTATTAAATTAACAAAAATCTACTACTATCTAAAAAAAATTAAAAAAAGCGATATTTATATTAAACACATATGAAAAACTAATTAACAAATACATACGTGTTTAGAATAACCTTTTTCGACATTAAAATTCAAACATCTAATGAATCTAACTCAATAAAGCACCTTTTTCCAGTCGACCTCCGATTGTTGTTAACATTACAACTAAAATTGTTGGCGAAGCTTTCGAAATGTTTAGGGTCGTTTGACAGTTTGCTTTCAAGGGACCGAAGTTTATTGGCGGCTTATTTGTATGCCGAGCGGTGTATGCAGACTAAATTGGTGTACAACTTTATTCTATGCCTCTCGCGGAGTAGCTAATCTCGGCAAATTGGACCCTTCGTTTTGTTTCGATGTCCTTATGATAAAAAATTACTAGAAGCACTTTAGAAAACGATTCTCGTCGCTTCTGACCTTTTGAATAAGCAATAATTTAATGGCGCAAATAGATTGATAATGTATTACGAGTAACGGTATTTGATTTACCTCACATTTAGTAGGTACAATATTAAAGTGAAATGTTAGGCCTGAAATATATTTATGAGACATCGTAATAGACTAAAATGACAAAATTCAAATGACATACAATTTTAAATGTTTCTATCTTTTACCACATTGATAGCCTATTAACATTCCAGGATTCTAACTCTTAGGAGGCATCTCCAATCATTCGTTATTCTGTTTGGGAAACCGCTGTAATGTTAAATGTAGCTGGGTTCGTTTTTCTCGGAATTAGCGTCCAGTGGTCTTTATTTGCTTATCTTATAGTTAAATTTTACAAAATAGTTGTTCTTTTGTTATCAAAATTGGTCCTTCGAGCCGGAAAATTATCAATTTTAGTCAACGCATATGAAGAAACGTTATCCTGAAAATAAGTACACAGTGCAATACCCGAGGCCCTCATCCGCACACATTATTAGAAGCCAATGGACCGATAAATTGATTTTATTATACCCGCAATACAAAACAATTTAATGTTAATGTCAAAATTACAAATGCATTGTTTACTTTTACCATTAAATGAAAGTCGTGTAGTTTTACAAAATTATATTTTTTGTGTATATCATCTGGGAATATCTATTTTATTGCAGTAATTCAAGTAATTTATTTTTTAATGTTAAATTGCATTTGTAATTTTCGTAAGACACGGGTTTCTTGCTTAAGCTTCCGATATTTCGGCACAGGTACATGCACCATGTTCACGGGTCGACTGTCAGTCGGGTAATATCGGGAGTTAAAACAACCCAATCATCGTAACAAATCCGTATGTTAAGAACAATATATTTAAAAACTACGGCAGTTTAAAGTTACATATAAATTGCAATAATGCGATATTCTATCTCAGTTATTCATCAAAGAATAAGAAAACAGTAAAAACGTGACGTCTTCCATAATATTCCCTAGTCCAATCCAATCCGGTCAGCATTGCAACGCTAATTTAAAATATTCTTTTTTCTTTTTCTTTTCATTAGTTATGTTTCTCATTTTTTGTGTTTAATATTTTTTTGTTTATAATTGTAGTGTTGACAAAGGATTAAACATTATTTTATTTTTTATTTTTATTTTTTTAGTCTGTTCAAATATACAGAGTTAAAACAATATTTCATCTTGTGTAGAAACACTTTAGAATAATAATAGATGTGCATATGTTGTATTTGTGAGTT